TATAATCAAACATGTTTTTATAGCTACAAATGATGTTGTGCTTTAGTGTCCAGTTTCGGCATTTTCGATCTCGATTCCAAACGTGCTCTTATGAATCCGTCGCGTTTTTCTGGACCGCACACCACTTGGGAAGCTTCTGTAACTAGCTTAATATGCCTCTCTACCGACTGAGTGTGACAAGGATAGCGGGCGAAATCCAGTCTTGGTGTATCTTCTTCCCGGATCATGGTTAAAAAAGTATCGTCATCAATGTCCATTACGATCGGAGGCTCTGTGATTGGAGTTTTCTGCCAATCGATCATGTCTATGTAACTAGTAGCTTCAAAATTGATTAATGGCACACGGAAAGATCTGACTGAACTCGTGCGTTTCTGCTTCCTGGATTTCATTATACGTCTCAGAGCCAACTCGCGTATTTCTGATTTTTCGTCGGTAAGCATCGCAAGCAAGAGGTTTTCTGGATGAGTAAAAAATGCGTTGCGTTGAATTACTGGATCAACAACTTTCTTCAGCTCGTCTGTGAGGTAGCGTGATTTCAGTATTGTATTATGGACATGTCGAGCGCCATCTTTACATGAAGCAGTATTTTTTATTTCAAACCATGCTGGTGCATAAACTGTTACGATGAAGGTAACCATTGTCTTCAGTTCATCTGATGGGCATTTTGTGGCTATATACAGGCATAGTATTCGATTAGCCGTTGTTAACCACCTTGAATGGTTGATAAGACCAGGATTGCGAAGTGAAAGGCCTACAGGACAAACACCACACTGACAGCGGTGCACAAGTCGAACAGATATTTTTTATCTGTACTTAAATCGTCAGAATTTAAACCTGACGGTAGAATACAGTTTATGGGTGTGTATTTGACAACGTGAAGCTTCTCACAATCTACCAGTGATTTTCCGATTGGACCATTGGTAGGTCCATCTAGATGTTCAAACAAATGCCTTAACGGTAATTCGTTAGCATGTAGCTGACATACGAACCATTGCAGCGGTTTGTCCAACGCCACTTCAAGTAATCGAATGATACCTCCTCGATTGCCTGTATTAGCAACGGTTCCGTCACAACCTACAGCTTTTATACCACCCAAGTCAACATTCTTTTTACTCGAATATGCAATTAACTCAGCCGCGATAACTTTGCTTGACCCTGCAGTTGGTGTAATGTGGCCAAAATAGATGGATCCTGGTTCGGACATAATCGATATGTGTTCTTCAGTTATTAGTTTTCGATGAAATTTCCCATCACATTCTTTAATTAGGGTCATTGTACTGTCTTTTCTTCCGTCAAAACATAGCCCAGTGATTGTGTTACTGACACTGGCACATAATGTTCCACGTTTTTTTACAATGCTCTCGTCGCACTTTACTTCTGTCAATCACTTTAGAAACATCCCTTTCGTGGATTATTCCGACATCTTGAAGAACAGCACTGGCGATTCCTGCTGCGGCCCTGTCGGATACACCATATCGATCACATGCTAACTCCAACAATGGTAACTGCTTGTCATTCAACTTTCTAAGTTGTTTATTAGGATCCGGCCTACAATCGTTATCAGATTCGTCATCGCTAGCATCAGTTTTCTCTTCCGTAGAAGAAATCTCCTCACAAATATCTGTTTTTCACTGATGCCATCAATGTCAGATTTGTGACACTTCTGCCTTTGCGTCAACTCTTTACGAATATATCGCTTTTGCAATTTAGCAATGATCATACCTCGTGGACCCCGCTGATCTTCTTGAAAATCACGTTCAATTGCGGGTATCTTTCTTGACTTTTCACACTGGCACTGAGATATGAAAGAACACTTGCAGGAGCAAATGTCAAAGAGTTTTTTGGATTCATCTTTAAACTGAGATATTTTCTCTTGGTATGGTCCTGAGTCTTTTCTAAACTTATATGGCTTCAGCAAATTCATGAACGTCTTGTGGTGCTTGTTCAACATTTCTTGGACACGGCGGTGGCTTACATGTGGTATGGAAGCTTTGTCCCATATTTGTTCTACTTTTGTTATCACTATTTCTGCCACATTGTGATGTGGAGGATCTTTATTGTTCAATTCATATTTAAGTCTCTGCTTTGTCAGATTGTACAACTTCATAACATCTGCATAGGTAGGTAGTTGATTGTCGGGCATTTCAGAGGGAGCATCAAAAATGGCGCAAGACACTTTTTTTCTGGTTACAGCCATGGCGTTGGCAACCCTAAATGAAAAACCAGAAAGGTTTAAAAATAAATGGTGAAGGCTGTAGGTAGGGGGTGTCAAGTATTTTGTTATTGAAAGGTGAGGAAAATATTAAGTGCTATCAATGACTTGGCATAACATGTTATAATATTACCTCTTGTAATTGGCTAATTATTATATTTATTATTATATATGAACAGTGCTTTTTTTGTAACAAAATAGGTGCCGGTACTCAGTGATGGTTTGCCTAACTTTTAACTATACCAGTTCGCACATCGATGCACAAGTTAAATCACAACTGCAAAGATAATAAAATAATGTCTAAAACAATTTTATTTTATAATTAACCAACTTAAATTGTTGTATTATTACTTTATTAGTATACCGTAAACATTTGTTATGATTGTAAAAATTTAAGTAACAACTTATTCAAGTTATTCTTGATTTACTTTAAAAAAATTGTGTTAAGTTCTCTTGTGTTTTATAGGAAAGAACCCTGTTAAAAACTAAAATAAAATACAAATGTTGAATAAATTATTCATAATAAATTCCAAAGTTTGATCAAGTTCTTATCTGACGTATCCTCCCGACTGCGTTCTTTGCTGTTGGTATCTGTGGCTGAATGTCTGCCTCTAAGCAACCATGATTCAACGTATCTTGTTGGGTCAAAACGTACGAGTGGTGGTCCAACTAATCTGATAAATAACAGTGAAGATACAGTTGTTGTCATCAATGAACTTCTTGTCGGGGTGATGATAAGATTCATTTGCGAAAATCCTCTTTCGGCTTCACTTGAAGAAATTGGGATTGTACTGAGAGCAATTTGCAAAGGAAGTAGTTTATCCGGAATGTTTTTTTCGATGAGATATTCACGAAATCCGCGAATCATTATTCTTTCGTTTAATTGCAATCTTGTTGACAAGTTTCTCATTTCTGTTTCGCCAAATGTTAAGTGAGTACCAATGTTGTCCGGCCATTGCTTTGTATCGAGCACTCGAGCCCAATATGCCAACTCAGCATCTTCACTAGAAAGCAACCTTTGTTCAATTGATTCTTGTAGTTTTTTGTAAAAAGCTTTTACGTCAATTGGTGGATCACTGGTACAGTTTTTGGTGTGAAGTGAAACTCCTTTGAAAAGGTTACTATCTACAGCAGTGGCCGCAATTTTATAATAAGGGCCTGGAATAATTTGCCTTTCTTCAAAAATCTGTATAACAGCCTTGATTTTTTTATCTGCTTTGTAGATGTCTATGTTGCGCTCTTGCAAATCCAAACTTAACTCTGACAATTCTTGAAGCGCATCGCACATCAATCCGAGGTCTAGTACAAATTCAGTAGAAGTAATCTTTCGCTGCAAACCTTCATACATGCATTGATCTTTTTTGTCTCTGGTTGAGTCAAGTTTTGCTTCTTCAAAATGTTGTACCAAAACTTCATAATCTTCCCAAACTGCTAAAACAGAACGGAAGCTGGATGCCACCCATCGCGTGCTTAACATTCTTCCAATTTTTAACAACTCAGCCTCTAACAAACGAGCACATACTTGCAATTCTCTGCAATTTTTGGGTGAAGAATGATAAACTACATACAGTTTATCAATGAATGCCTTAAATCTGTTGATACCTGAAACTTGTTTTACGACATCACCAACGGAGAGTTCCAGTCGGTGATTTGCACAATGCCAAACCAGAACCGATGGAAACTTTTCTTTTAGCAATGCCTTGACGCCACTTTTGCTTCCCAACATCACAGCTGCTCCATCACATGCAAGAGAAACTAAGTTCCTTCTTAGAAAGTCTTCTGTTAACCCATAGAAATGAAGGCAGTGTAGTAAAGAAGCAAAAACTCCATTTGCAGTTACACTTTCGAGTTCTACCAAATCCAAGAATAAATTTACTGGTGAGGTCATTCCACTGTCTGCAAGACAAACCCGAATATACACAATTAAAGTCGATTTTTGGCTAAGCGTAGTTGATTCGTCGATGATCAATGAAATTTTATTGTTCGACCGTACAATTTCTTGGAACAATTTTTTTCTCATTTCACAACTAATGTGATTCACTACATTTATGCAAGCATTGGTTGAATGAAGAATACGGCCCATTTCAACTCCGTTTAGTTCTTGCAAATCTATTTCAGATTCGAAATTATGAAACGATTGGTTTTCTTTGGCTACTTTGTAAGCTGTACGAAAAATCTTTGCAGTTACGATTTTCTCACGAGTTAATGCCTTTAACAACACGTTCTCAATAGGTGCTGCCTCGGCTTCTGTTAGGATCTTAAGCGCAGCTTTGTGTGCCGCAGTTTCTTTATGATCGAATAATTTCTTTCTTAAAGACATAAGCTGTTGTTGTCGATCAGTACCGAAGTAAGTTATTTTATTGTCGGCCCATTCGTTCGATACCTTCATTCCCATCTTTGCCTCAACTCCGAGATTGCCAACTTTTCGGCAAGGGATACAACCAAGTTTTTTATTACGGATAGATAGCCAATCATATTTCACAAGGAAATAATTTCTTTGATCTAAAGTCCAGCAGGTAGGCCAGTCAACATCTGCAGACTGCAGTTGTTCAAAAGTAACAGAGGAACCACGAACGATATCTGACGGCTTTGGTTCCGATAGTTCCATTAGGGTTTCTTCTGTGACATTGGCTTCGGCCGTTATTTCGTCAGTTAGTCTGGTTTTCTTACTTACCGGCAAAGTCCCAGTCGGAACATCCACTGAATGCAAAAAGAAATCAGAAATTTTCTTCATTTCTAAAGTGGGCTAAGAAAATAATTATTTCTTAAATTATCAATTTCTAACCACACTCGTTTTAATTTCTTTAAGTCTTAATTATTACATTCAAATTTTGAAATTTTAAAGGCATTACGTCATAAAAACAAGCATGACCGGAAATGGGTTAATGACTAATGACGAGTGTGTATGGAAAGCAGTTTCGCATTTTATATTTTAATTCTTATTGCGCGCAATTTTAAAATAATTCAATTTTGACAAATTAATAATATAATAAATTAATAATAAACATTAAAATACAAGATAAGTAATAATTTTTTCCCACACTGAAAAAGGTGCCGGTACGCCGTACCGGTGCGTACCGGCACAAAAAAAGCACTGTATATGAATTATTTTTATATATGAATAAAAAGTTTTGCAATAAACGCTGTTTGTTTACTCTAAACAGGAAAAACGCACGTGAATGCGTACAAAAGCAAACTACAATAAAAAGAATACGGGATAGCAAATGCTTATAAATGGTTAAATTTTGAAGTTGGTTGTGGAACCTCAACACGTTACTTAAATTAATTTTTTTTTTACAGAGTAGTTGATTGTACCACATAGCAAGTTTTAATAACTATCCAAAGTCAAACAAATCAAAAAAAATTTTTTTTCAAGTTTTCACTCCACCCTAATATATGTCCATTTGATTTATTTTCATTTGCTCTGTTGTCTGTAATTGAAACAATTAGGTCTAGTTTTATTTATTATAGTTTTGTTTTTGTCAAGACTTGTTTGTAATAAAAAAATTAATAAATTTAATGACAATCTTGATTTATCATGTTCAAATTATCATGCTCATATTTTCGTTAACTGACTTCAGCAAAAGACTCTTACCATTTGCATTATAGATGTTCCTTCAAAAGAGAAGAGAATTACGCCCTACGCTGTTTCATCTGCCCTCTGTTCCCCACAATATTTGCATATCTTAACTCCTTTTCATCCCAGCCCTGTCTTTTCTTCAAGTCTATATTATCCCTTCATTAAATATTCTCACTTTGTGCATTCATGCGTTTACTAAGCATCGCTAGTTCTTATCTTTTTATTAAGGTATACCGTAAAGCTTTTTCATCATTTTTATTTAGTCTATTTGTACGTCTCTGCTAACACAATTCCACTCCACATATCTTCGTCAGAACTATATGGAATTTCTACGGTTGTTGTCTTTTTTCTTTACTATGAGGAAATGTGCGCTGCGGACACCAGTAGAATACATTTATGCAGCAAAGAACGCAGGAAATCGCTTCTCTCTTTTTCTTTTTTGTTGTTTCGATAGTGGGACGTAAGAAGCGAAACCTTGAGAAACACGTGCTGTGGTTGTGACCCTGAGAAACACGTGCTGTAGCTCCTGAGCTTGTGACCTTGAGGAACACGTGCTGTTACTCCTGAGCTTGTGACCTTGAGAAACACGTGCTGTAGCTCCTGAGCTTGTGACCCTGAGAAACACGTGCTGTAGCTCCTGAGCTTGTGATCTTGAGAAACACGTGCTGTAGCTCCTGAGCTTGTGACCTTGAGGAACACGTGCTGTTACTCCTGAGCTTGTGACCTTGAGAAACACGTGCTGTGCGCTCCTGAGAAACACGTGCTGTAGCTCCTGAGCTTGTGACCTTGAGAAACACGTGCTGTGCGCTCCTGAGCTTGTGACCTTGAGAAACACGTGCTGTGCGCTCCTGAGCTTGTGACCTTGAGAAACACGTGCTGTTACGCCTGAGCTTGTGACCTTGAGAAACACGTGCTGTGTGCTCCTGAGAAACACGTGCTGTAGCTCCTGAGCTTGTGACTAAGAAACATTGAGAAACACGTGCTGTAGCTCCTGAGCTTGTGACCTTGAGGAACACGTGCTGTTACTCCTGAGCTTGTGACCTTGAGAAACACGTGCTGTTACGCCTGATCTTGTGACCTTGAGAAACACGTGCTGTGCGCTCCTGAGAAACACGTGCTGTAGCTCCTGAGCTTGTGACCTTGAGAAACACGTGCTGTGCGCTCCTGAGCTTGTGACTAAGAAACATTGAGAAACACGTGCTGTGCGCTCCTGAGCTTGTGACTAAGAAACATTGAGAAACACGTGCTGTAGCTCCTGAGCTTGTGACCTTGAGAAACACGTGCTGTAGCTCCCGAGCTTGTGACCTTGAGAAACACGTGCTGTGCGCTCCTGAGCTTGTGACCTTGAGAAACACGTGCTGTGCGCTCCTGAGCTTGTGACTAAGAAACATTGAGAAACACGTGCTGTAGCTCCTGAGCTTGTGACCTTGAGGAACACGTGCTGTTACTCCTGAGCTTGTGACCTTGAGAAACACGTGCTGTGCGCTCCTGAGCTTGTGACCTTGAGAAACACGTGCTGTGCGCTCCCGAGCTTTTGACCTTGAGAAACACGTGCTGTGCGCTCCTGAGCTTTTGACCTTGAGAAACACGTGCTGTGCGCTCCTGAGCTTGTGACTAAGAAACATTGAGAAACACGTGCTGTAGCTCGTGAGCTTGTGACCTTGAGGAACACGTGCTGTTACTCCTGAGCTTGTGACCTTGAGAAACACGTGCTGTGCGCTCCTGAGCTTGTGACCTTGAGAAACACATGCTATGCGCTCCTGAGCTTTTGACCTTGAGAAACCCGTGCTGTAGCTCCTGAGCTTGTGACCTTGAGAAACACGTGCTGTTACGCCTGAGCTTGTGACCTTGAGAAACACGTGCTGTGCGCTCCTGAGAAACACGTGCTGTAGCTCCTGAGCTTGTGACTAAGAAACATTAAGAAACACGTGCTGTAGCTCCTGAGCTTGTGACCTTGAGGAACACGTGCTGTAGCTCCTGAGCTTGTGACCTTGAGAAACACGTGCTGTGCGCTCCTGAGCTTGTGACCTTGAGAAACACGTGCTGTGCGCTCCTGAGCTTGTGACTAAGAAACATTGAGAAACACGTGCTGTAGCTCCTGAGCTTGTGACCTTGAGGAACACGTGCTGTTACTCCTGAGCTTGTGACCTTGAGAAACACGTGCTGTGCGCTCCTGAGCTTGTGACCTTGAGAAACACGTGCTGTGCGCTCCTGAGCTTTTGACCTTGAGAAACACGTGCTGTGCGCTCCTGAGCTTTTGACCTTGAGAAACACGTGCTGTGCGCTCCTGAGCTTGTGACTAAGAAACATTGAGAAACACGTGCTGAAGCTCGTGAGCTTGTGACCTTGAGGAACACGTGCTGTTACTCCTGAGCTTGTGACCTTGAGAAACACGTGCTGTGCGCTCCTGAGCTTGTGACCTTGAGAAACACGTGCTATGCGCTCCTGAGCTTTTGACCTTGAGAAACACGTGCTGTAGCTCCTGAGCTTGTGACTAAGAAACATTGAGAAACACGTGCTTTAGCTCCTGAACTTGTGACCTTGAGAAACACGTGCTGTGCGCTCCTGAGCTTGTGACTAAGAAACATTGAGAAACACGTGCTGTGCGCTCCTGAGCTTGTGACTAAGAAACATTGAGAAACACGTGCTGTAGCTCCTGAGCTTGTGACCTTGAGGAACACGTGCTGTTACTCCTGAGCTTGTGACCTTGAGAAACACGTGCTGTGCGCTCCTGAGCTTGTGACCTTGAGAAACACGTGCTGTTACGCCTGATCTTGTGACCTTGAGAAACACGTGCTGTGCGCTCCTGAGAAACACGTGCTGTAGCTCCTGAGCTTGTGACCTTGAGAAACACGTGCTGTGCGCTCCTGAGCTTGTGACTAAGAAACATTGAGAAACACGTGCTGTGCGCTCCTGAGCTTGTGACTAAGAAACATTGAGAAACACGTGCTGTAGCTCCCGAGCTTGTGACCTTGAGAAACACGTGCTGTAGCTCCTGAGCTTGTGACTTTGAGAAACACGTGCTGTGCGCTCCTGAGCTTGTGACCTTGAGAAACACGTGCTGTGCGCTCCTGAGCTTGTGACTAAGAAACATTGAGAAACACGTGCTGTAGCTCCTGAGCTTGTGACCTTGAGGAACACGTGCTGTTACTCCTGAGCTTGTGACCTTGAGAAACACGTGCTGTGCGCTCCCGAGCTTTTGACCTTGAGAAACACGTGCTGTGCGCTCCTGAGCTTTTGACCTTGAGAAACACGTGCTGTGCGCTCCTGAGCTTGTGACTAAGAAACATTGAGAAACACGTGCTGTAGCTCGTGAGCTTGTGACCTTGAGGAACACGTGCTGTTACTCCTGAGCTTGTGACCTTGAGAAACACGTGCTGTGCGCTCCTGAGCTTGTGACCTTGAGAAACACGTGCTATGCGCTCCTGAGCTTTTGACCTTGAGAAACCCGTGCTGTAGCTCCTGAGCTTGTGACCTTGAGAAACACGTGCTGTTACGCCTGAGCTTGTGACCTTAAGAAACACGTGCTGTGCGCTCCTGAGAAACACGTGCTGTAGCTCCTGAGCTTGTGACTAAGAAACATTGAGAAACACGTGCTTTAGCTCCTGAGCTTGTGACCTTGAGGAACACGTGCTGTAGCTCCTGAGCTTGTGACCTTGAGAAACACGTGCTGTGCGCTCCTGAGCTTGTGACCTTGAGAAACACGTGCTGTGCGCTCCTGAGCTTGTGACCTTGAGAAACACGTGCTGTGCGCTCATGAGCTTTTGACCTTGTGAAACACGTGTTGTGCTCTCCTGAGCTTGTGACTAAGAAACATTGAGAAACACGTGCTGTAGCTCCTGAGCTTGTTACCTTGAGGAACACGTGCTGTTACTCCTGAGCTTGTGACCTTGAGAAACACGTGCTGTGCGCTCCTGAGCTTGTGACCTTGAGAAACACGTGCTGTGCGCTCCTGAGCTTTTGACCTTGAGAAACACGTGCTGTAGCTCCTGAGCTTGTGACTAAGAAACATTGAGAAACACGTGCTTTAGCTCCTGAGCTTGTGACCAAGAAACCTTGAGAAACACGTGCTGTAGCTCCTGAGCTTGTGACCAAGAAACACGAGCTGTAGCTCCAGAGCTTGTGAACAAGAAACCTTGAGAAACACGTGCTGTAGCTCCTGACCAAGAAATCTTGAAATAATTAAACTTTGTTCTATAAAACGATTATAGAAACAAATATTTTGTCATGTTACTGCGTAGCTGTGCAATAGAATAGTATTCTATGATTTTATTCTGCTGGTATATGGAAACTGTATACCTATTAATGTGGTCTAGTCAAAGTCTTTATAACGAGGTTTAACTTCAAAATTCACATAAGTGCACTGAGATGAGGTGAAAACCTGAGTGCACCTTGTCACCCCACCTCAGTGTTGTTAGCTAGTGTCCTCTCTTAGATTAAGATAAATATTTCAATAACTGCGCACCCGGCCATATGTAAAGCAATAGGAACAACTCCCAGTCAGTTTTCTATTTGAATAAAAAAAAAAACTTTCATTGCAACATTCATTTTTCTTAAGTTTAGATTTGTAACTCTGTAAATGTTCAGATTGCCCTTTAAGGTCACGGCGACGTTCAACTGACAGTGAAAGGTGTCATATTTATGAGTTTCTAGATAATACAGTCACGCCTCTGGGGGATGTTATCGACATACAAACACTCTCATGAAATTATCATAAGTTAAATCTTAAACGGGAAATCAAACGACTTAAAAAAGCTTGTTTGAATGGCATAACAAAAGCTTGCCTATTTCAAAATGTACTTCTTTTTTTTTTCTTTGCCTGAACGACAAAAATAAATTAATGTCAAAAGTGATATAAAATCTAAAATTAAATCCAATTGTCAAGGACAATGTTTAATCTAGAGATAACCTTTGACCTAGTACGTCTGGGTGTTCTTGAA